TGACCTCCGTGCAAGCTTGGTTCCCATTTTCGAAACAATCATTGTGTCCCTCTTCTTCTTTGCGACATGACTCTTTAACTATGGGAATGGACGCACAATCTGCCGAGCGGTCGGCCATGAGCGATGATCAGAACTCGCCAATGTTTGTATATATGCATTTTTCCGTTCGTTCCTTTCCAAGAGGATCCTGTTGAATGGACGTTGAGATAAAGTTGCTGGACCCGACGCAATTTGGGTACCGACTTTGCCTGTTTCGACTTGGCTTAGGAGGAAGATTCACACTCTATCGTCACTTCAACGGATGGACGCAACGTAGCGAAGACGACGGCACGTGCGCAACGAGAGATCCTGCGAATCGAAAGAGAATGGGATGGTGCCACGAAAGGGCAGCATTGGCCGAGCACGTGGGCCAAAGACAGGCTGGGTTGGAATGATGCCTGAGAGCCTGAGAAAGAGCTTAGCCGTGGGTAAATTGGCACAAGAGAGGCAGCGCATGTGGCGGTATCGGTCCCAGAAATCGACAGCCCAAGGGCAGGGGCAGGAACGAGACAAAAAAAAAGATGGGCTGGCGAGCGAGTGCGTCAATCCAGAGGCGGCGCGTCGCACGTTGAGGGCATCGGGCAGCGGTCGGGATGCAGAGGGCGCTTATGAGCACATGTCTTGCGGTTTCACAGCAGACAGTTGCGGCTCGGACAAAGGCCGTTGAGGGTTGAGGACGAAGCGGTATGCCGGGGAGGTGGCATGTCTGTGGGATGTATGTGGGAGAGGTAGGGATTGCGGTGGTGGAAGAGGTTTGGCAGCCCCGCGCGGCGGCAATCAACAGGGGTAGAGGTCCGTCTCTGCAGCAGCGGACAAGGGCAGCTGGATGCAAGAGTAGCGCCAGCCTAACATGGGTGTACTCTCTACTGATGTCTACTTAGACTCGTAACACCTCGCAGCACTGAGTACCCTCAGCTCCCAATTTCTTTATTTATGTAGCGCTACATACATACCATACCGCGCGCGCTCCACTTGCTTGCTCCTGCCCTCGTTGCGCCCGCTTGGACCACCGGCACCCCCTTCCACTGCAGTTCCTGCTGCCCCGCTTACGTCACTCGTCGCCTGCGCGTCCGCGTCCTACCACCGCAGGTACTTAAACTCGTCCACGCTTCTTTTTCCACCACAACTTCTCCACAACTCTCCACACACTCCACAACTCACAACCTCTCTGCACTTGCACAACTCCATCCCTCACACTCTTCAACAACATTCCACCTCTATCCAAGCTTCATCCTCTCGCCAAGATGCCTGCTGTAAGTTCAATGGCTCTGCCCGAACCTTGGCCTGACCTGGCCCCACTAACCTCACTCACCCATGCCAGATCAAGCAAATCCACTTCGACTGCGACAACACGCTCGTCCTCTCTGAGGAGCTTGCCTTCGAGGCCTGCGCCGAGCTGTCCAACGAGATCCTCGAGAAGTACGGCATCTCTGACCGCTACACCGGCCCTGCTCTCCTCAAGGACTTCGTCGGCCAGAACTTTCGCGGCATGATGACTTCACTCCAGAAGAAGTACGGCTTCTCCATGCCCGAGGATGAGTTCAACAGCTATGTCGACCGCGAGCTTGGCAAGGTCATCGAGACCCTCGAGAAGAAGGCCCAGCCCTGCGACGGCGTCATTCCTGTCATCCAGAAGCTCTACGACGAGAAGAAGTACGGCCTGTCTGTCGTCTCTTCTTCTGCCCTCTCCCGCGTCCAGGCTTCCATCCGCAAGGTTGGCCTCGACCAGTACTTCCCGCCCGAGCACGTCTACAGCGCTGCCACCTCTCTTCCCAAGCCGACCTCCAAGCCTGACCCTGCCATCTACCTCTACGCCTGCGAGCAGATCGGCGTCACCCCTGCCGAGTCCGTCGCCGTTGAGGACAGCCGCAGCGGTGCCACTGCCGCGAAGAATGCCAAGATCCCCCTCATCGGCTACGTCGGACCCTACGAGGGTGAGGAGCAGGAGAAGATGTACAAGATGCTCAAGGAGGAGTGCGGTGCCATCTACGTCATGAAGCACTGGAACGAGTTCTTCGATGCTCTCAAGGCGGTCGAGCAGTCCTAGATTTCCCCTTGGGCGACCACGACAGATAGACGAAGGATTTGAATAGACCTTCGACATTGACGACGGCCAAATACGGCCATGTATGAGGGATGAAAATGGGCTTCACGAGGATCACGGATGGACGATTTCAATGATAACAATCTCCCATCACTTTGCTCAATTGCTTGCCGTGATGTTTGCTCTGCTACCATCAAAAGTGATGAACGTGTGTGCCTTGACCTATCTTGGGATTCGCTATGGTGTTGTAAAAGCACGGCAGTCATGCTTTTTCTTTAAGAAAAATTCCAGCTTAGCCATGTCCACGCGGTCATTGCTTCATCTGCGCAGATCGACGACTGCTCCCTGCGCGCTGTCACATGGTGCACATCCAAACTGCCCACGCCTATCTCCTCGACATGTACCACATACCACAGCACTTTTGACACTTCTGCTCACTCTCTGCAGTCAGTCAGTCAGTCAGTCAAGCCATCACATCACGTCCAAACACAGCGTTCTGGCTGGCTCCAAATACCGCATCACCCTTCTACAGCGGCGGTGGGCGAGGGCTAGGGCAGGCAGGACTCAAAGGCATGGTATGGAGGATTCGGATTGGATTGAATCGGATTAGATCAATGCTGTTGCGTAGGTACATACAATAGAAACAAGTAAATGCTTTTATGATTAGTTGGTCTCGCCGACTGACATGATTTTCAACCGTCTGCCTTTCTCCGTCCCTCATAGTACCTCCCACCTCCCACCTCCCCCGCTATCTCCCATGTCCCCTTCAACTACCCACTTCAACCTCAACCAACACGGCAGTACCCCAACAGACCTACGCCTTCATAGTCTTCTGTCTCTGACTCCTCCTCATATTCTTCTCACGCTCCTTCTCCAGATACTTGCGCTGATCATCTGCACTCATGTTCTTCAGCTTGCGCTCGCGATCCGCCTTCTTCTGCTTCTCGGCCTCGAGCCGGCGCTCCTCGGCGCGGCCCTCGTCGTCGAGCTTGCGCAGCTTGCGCGCCTCGTCCTCGCGCGTCTGCCGCACGCGCCGCAGCGCCTCGGGCCGGAACCGCGCCGACGACGCCAGTTGGTCTGGCAGTCGGAGGAAGAAGCTGAAGAGGGGGAGCGTGGCGCTGTAGTCGTTGTTGGAGGGGAGCGTGAGCGAGAGCGTGATGCGCTTGCGGGGGTTTGTTTCGTCGAGTCTGTGAGCGGTCAGTCAGTGAGTGCGAGGATATGAGGGACGGGGTGGCTGGATACGATACGTACTTCTTGGGGCGGTCCATGGGCTGGTCGGAAATGACGAGGGCCTCGAGGGCGTCGCCGGCCTGCTCGACGACCTTGAGCAGCTCGGGGGTAAGCAGGGCGTCTGTGATTTCGGCCGACTCGCTCATAACCGTGTACCAGACGGGCAGCTTGGGGTGGTCCTTCGTCGTGGTCAGGGAAAGGTCGTAGCGGTCGTCACGCAGGCGCTTCATCAAGTCCTTGTGGACAATGGCAAAGACGAAGCCATCGAAGGACGAGTTGGGAACCTTTGCCGCGCCGGGCGCCAGCGTCGCCTCCTTGCCGTCGAAAGCGTAGGCCGTGGCCTCCATGCGCTCGACGGGCGCCGACACGCTGTCGAAGAAGAAGCTGGCCGCCGCCTCGCCGTACCGCACCAGCGGGTTGTAGCGCTTGGCCATGGACAGCTTGACGTCGACAAAGGCCACGTTCTGCCGGCCCGTCGCGTACGACTGGTACTCGTTGTGCGCGACCTCCTTGACCAGCTTCTCGGGCTCGAGCGACGCCATTTCGTCGGCGCTGAGGCGCGCCAGCCCGCTCGCCTGCACGTCCTGCACCGTCGGCGGCTTCTTGTCCCTGCGCCCGCCAAAGCCCACGCTGGCAAACTCGTCCTTGAGCACCGGCGCGTGAGCCCTGGCCCAGCCATGCGCCCGCTTGCGGTTCGCCCGCGTGCCCCACACATGCACCAGCACCACCAGCACGATGAACGGCAGGATGAAGGCCTCCTGGTAGAAGTCGGACAGCTGCGTCCGCTCCCACACCCGGTACCACTTGGTGTAGGGGACGGTAGGCCGGTCGGTGGCGCCAGCTACGACGCCCGCCGCCGCCGTCGACGCGCTCGCCACCGATATCGACGCCGGCGTGGGCTCGGGCGCGCTGGCAAAGTCGGCAAAGTCTGCAATGGCAACGTGTTAGACGCCAATGGCTTCTCCATCATCAATGATCAATTCGGCCGACTGGCGGGCGTGACGTACCGGCGTCCTGGTCGGCGGCGGGCGCCGCGCTGGGCGTCGACTTTGTGCCCAGCAGGTTGTTGAGGAAGTCGGCCATGCCTGGAGATGTCAAGTCTTCTGGCGACGACGCAGAATGGGGTGGGGTGGGCGACGAGGCTGATAAGTTGGCCTTGGCGGTGCGGCGTTGGTTGAGCTTCCAGTCTGCTCTGCTCCACGGCTGCTGCAGTGGTTAAGGTAGCTTCGGCTGGGATCCTTACGCGAGAGCTCGGCGCCGATCCCGTCGTCTGTCAGGTCGACCACCACTACCTACTGTGCCGCCTTCTCTACCCAGCTCACAACGACACCGTGTTGCCCGTACTTTCATTTACCAGCAATCCGCGCGGTCAAGTCGGTGGCATCTCGTTGGCAACTCATGACATCGAAAACTGTCCGCTTGCTCGCACCTCAGCATCCAACTTACTCACGCCCCGCGTCGGCTCGGCCAAAAAGCACCCGTCACCGCCTCGGCTGATGTGCCGCCTCCCAACACCTCACAATCCACCACACGCATCCATCCATCGATTCTTCCACCACCATCACCACCTCCTCCCTCCCTTCTCCCTCATCCCCTTTCGACCTATTCCCATCAATCCATCCTACACACCCTCTGCCGTACCCGCTGTCTCCTGGTCATATACCACGCTCCCCACCGCTCTTGTTATGCGTTCATGGTCTAGGGGTTATGATACTTGCCTTCCATTTTCCACACAGTGGAGCCAGCAAGTTGCCTGGGTTCGAGTCCCAGTGGACGCAGTACTGTTTTGCCGATTGCGAGAGCTTTTTGGGGGGGTGTGGAGGGGATGGGGTGGGGGCGCGGAGGGCGGAAGGAAGGAAGGGGGCTAGATCGCGGGTGGCGTGTGGGGACCATCCACCCCCTGGCGACATTGCTTGGGTTGGGTTGGGTCGGGTTCGGTTCTTTTGACCTTGCTTGACGAGTCTCTGCCTAGGTACATTAGGTATGTAGGTATGTAGGTATGTAAGGTCTGTGTGTCTATATTTGTGGTCTACCTCTTCCCTAACAACCTCTTTCTCTTGCAAGTAAGCAAGCACGCAAGCAAGCAAGCATGGTACAAGTAGTAAATATGTACTGCATCCACACCATTACACATCGGGTATGAAAAGAACGATATGAATAACGGCGCGGAGAGCGCGCGCTTTCTTCGCTTCATTCTTTCATTTTGCACATTTCCCACCTTACTTTGCCAGCTATGCGTGTGTGTAGGAGGCGGACGCAGCCAGGAGCCAGCGCCGCGTCACCGGATCAGACATTGAACCGAAGACGACGGGAGACGAGATACATGTAAAGTCGAACAACCCGACCCAGCCAACCCAGCGTCGCACTCACTTGCTCATCATGTTCTAGACAACTCACTTAGCCAGACAGACAGATGGACAGATGAAGAAAGTGTCTCACACCTGCCGGCACTGCAGCCTCGGAACGCATGTTTTATCTCACTCAGTGCATTCCCACTTGTACATTCCTACTTGTACAAGACCTGCATGTGTGTGTGTATGCACGTATGTCTCACGGCGAATACCTACCTACCACCTACCTACCCATCCATCCATCCATCCATCCATCCATCCATCCACCCACTCATGCATCGACACCTATGCAGGTATGTGGCATGGATGCACACAAAAGAAAACAAAACAAAACAAAACAAAACGATCTGAAAATTTAGTCTGGGATTAATGCAACAATAGGCTGCTGTTGTCTTCAACACCGACCGCATCTGCCATCAGACAGAGCTTCTGCATCCGGTTCGTCCAGTCGGTGGAGGTGGCGGTGGCGCCCTGGTAGCTTGCTTGCTCGTACTGTACAAAGAACCTACGTGACTACTGCTGCCGTCGTACGTGTGTGTGTGTATGTGTGTGTGTGTGTGTGTGTGTGTGTGTGTGTGTGTGTGTGTGGCGCAGATGTGCGTGTGTGGCGTTTGCACCGCACTGCAGTGAAGACACTAACCACACACGAATTCCATATCAGCGTCACCATCGCTCAAGAAGGGTAAGTTAGCTGTGAGCTAGCTAGCTAGCTTGCTTGCGTGTGGCGAAGAGTGTTGGGAGGGCGTAGGGCGTGGCGTGCGGAGTAGACTTATGGTAACATGGCGCGTGACAAGTTGGCCATACGTCAGTTCCGCAATTCCGAAAAAGTCTCCTCTCTCTCACTCACTCACTCAGGCGTGTGAGTGAGTGTGGTGAAAATCACGTTTTCATAACCGCGCAAGAGGGAGGAAGAGAATGACAAGATTTCATTCGTAGTAGTGGAAAAGAAAGAAAGGAAGGAAAGGAAAGGCTAGGAGTACGATACGAAGAGACACAAAAAGCCAAACCAGAAGAGTAAACACACAACTTTGTCCAGCCTAATTCAATTCGATACAATTTTCCAGCTCACCATCGCTCATGCCCCGTTCTTGATGCCGTTGCCATTGAGCAAGCTATCCTTGTGCGTTCCGCGAGCCGGAGCGCCATTGTTGTCCGTCGCGCTGATCGACACCTTGCTCAGCATACCGTTGGCGGCGCGCAGGTCGGGCGTCTTGGCCATGCCGTTGTGCGAGCCGTTGAAGCGCAGGCCCGAGATGCCGGCGTAGCCCTTGACGCCCGTCGCCTTCTCGAGCCGCGACGCAATGTCCTCGCTGACCTCGCGGAAGATGGCAATCTGCCTCTTGATGATCTCCTCCTTGCGGCAATTGGCCATGTGGCCCGACACGGTCTTGATGAAGCGCTCGCGCGCGCCGTCGTCGAAGACGCGCTCCCACAGCGCCCGCGGCGCATTGAAGTCCTCGGGTCGGATTTCGGACAGGAAAGTTACGGCCTCGCCGATGAAGTGGCCATGCGTCTTGTTCAGGTCGATGGTGCGGTTGCGGAAGCTGATGGGCTCGATCGACGACAGGTAGTTGGGGCGTCCGCCCTGGTTGTAGAACGCCATGGAGCCGTCACGCTGGAAGTTTGCGAAGCGGTACGGCACGCGCGGCGCGTTGACGGGCAGCTGCTGGTAGTTGACGCCGACGCGGTGGCGGTGGGTGTCGGGGTACGAGAAGAGACGAGACTGCAGGACGGGGTCGGCCGAGGGCTCGACACCAGGCGGCATGTGTGCTGGGTTGAAGCAAACTTGCTCAATCTCGGAAAAGTAGTTCTTTGCGTTCTCGTTGAGGAAAAACTCGCCAAACTTGCGCAGAGGGTATTTTCCTTGTGGCCACACGTGCGTCAGGTCAAATACATTGATCCTCTCCTGCTCCCACATCTCCTCGGCTTGCTTGGGAGTGACGGACTGGACGTAGCAGTCCCAGCCGGGGAAGTCACCGGCCTCGATGGCGTAATACAGGTCCTTTTGCGAGTGGTCCGCAGACTTGGTGCCAGCCTCCTCGCCGGTGAGGAACCTGATGCCCTGCTTGCTCTTGTAGTGGAACTGGGCGTAAACCCAGTCGCCGTTCTTGTTCACCAACTTCATCGTGTGGCCAGCGTAGCCGTTCATGAAGCGGTAGCCGTCGGGGATACCACGGTCACCCATGAGGATCATGACCTGGTGGACTGACTCGGGGTTCTGGGAAAGATAATCCCAGAACATGGTCGAGTCGTCGGCGCCGTTCAAGTGAGTGGCCGGGTCGCGCTTCTGGGTGTGAATGAAGTGGGGGAACTTGGCAGGGTCGCGCAGGAAGAAGACGGGCGTGTTGTTGGCGACCATGTCCCAGTTGCCCTCGTCGGTGCGGAACTTGACAGCAAAGCCGCGAGGGTCGCGGGCACAGTCGTGAGAGCCCGACTCACCACCGACGGTGGAGAAGCGAGCAGTGACGGGGCACTGCTTGCCCGCCTTGAAGATGTCCGCAACGGACAGGTCGTCGAGAGGGTCGGTGGTGCGGTAGAAGCCATGAGCACCACTGCCTTTGGCGTGGACAACACGCTCTGGGATACGCTCTCGGTCAAAGTGGGAGAGCAGATCTACGAGGTGGAAGTCCTGGAGCAGCAGAGGGCCGTTTTCACCGACGCGCTGTGTCTCGTAAGGGTGGGGGTAGGGTGCGCCATTGCTGGTGCAGTAGAGCGTGTCCTCAGAGGTAGCGTTGCGGTCGTCATTGTAGTCGCGGTAGAGGTCGCCGTTCTTGCGGCCGTCGGCGGCGTGGGCTGGCGGAGCCATGTCAGCTAGCTCAATGTGTGTGACCCGAGGGGAGGGGAGCGAGCTTGTTCAGGAACGGTACCTTGGAAACCGGGAGCCATGGTGAGATGTCGTGGTACGTTGGATCGGATCGACGTCAGACAGTCTCAGTTTGATTTTCGGAAGATGGACAAGAGGAGGCGGAGCAGCGAGTGAGCAGGACTTTTATAGCGGGCGAGTCGAGGGTCCCGTCGTCGCAGTTGAATCCAGTGGGAAGGGAAGCATGACGACTAGCGCGCAAGCCATCCGCGGACACCCTTGTTCCCCCGCATTCTGTCAGCAGAGAGCGTCTGGATTTTGCATCTCGAGAAGCCGGGGCGAAGTGATGGTGGTGCCGCAACGCCTTGCCGCATGCGGTCAAAGCCAGCGCATGGCGGACAAGGGAATTTTTTATGTTACTACAGCCCGAAGCCCATTGGCTCGCTTACTGTATCTCGGCCTCGGCTCTCTGCGTCCTTCCGTTCCTTCCTCAGGTTCATGTTCCTTCGCGCTCTCAGTCGGCGTCATGCCGTCGTCTGGAGACATCTTGATACTCACTCACTCTAAGGTACGGTAAGTACTTTGAGTGGGTGAGTGGGTGAGTGAGTGAGCGAGTGAGTTTATGAGTGAGCGAGTGAGTGAGTGAGTGATTGCACCAAGAATGCACCCCACCTCGCTCGCTCGCTCGCCACGCCTTGCCTGCCACCCACTGCCGTTCACATTCCCCCTCCTCCCATTGGCTCCCTCTCCACTCAAACGTCCACTTTCGGCCTCCACCTCCACCTCCACCTTTCCCGTAAACTCAGCAAAAGGGTCCAGCCAACCTTAATTCCCCAACTCAGAACCCCATACCCATGTCTGCGTCAAACTGTGCAAAGTCGACCTCCAGAGGCAGGAACCCGCTCCACAGCGCGTCGTCCGTCAGTTGCCCTTGGCTGGTGGCAAACTCGCCAATCGTGTTGAGGTCTGTCCACGAAAAGTCGCCCAGCTGCTCTGCCGTCGCCCCGTTGTCGTTGCCTCCCAGCGGGCTCTCGCCCACGTTGCCGCTGCACGCTGACGGCGCCGGCGTCGCCTGCGACACGCCCCCTCCTCCTTCGCCATACTGCTGCTGGTACTGCGAGTGCCCGCTGCTGCGCATGTACCCCGGCGGCTTGTGCGTGTCCGCCTTTTGCCAAAGCAGCTTGAGCAGCTCCGCGTAGCGCGCCCCCATGTGCTGCGGGCCCACGGCGCTGCGTTGCAGCTTCTCAATCGTCTCGTCAATCAGCCGTCGTATGAGCCGCTCCTCGTCGCCCGCAAACACGCCCACTATCTTTGCCCGGAACAGGAACACGGCCCCATACACCAGGTATAGGTAGAACCGCAGCGGCATGAATCGCAGCGCCGTCTCGGCCGGGATGAAGCTGTTGGCCGTCGTCAAAATCGCCTTGGCCGCATCCAGCGCCTCGAATATGAACCGCGCATCCCCCACTGCCCCCACGTTGTTGTAGAAGACGCGCGACGGCGACTGCGGGATGATGGGGCTGCTGGCCTTGTCCTCTGCAAGCTTGGCCTGCACCCGTCGCACCGTTGCTTGGAACGCAAACGCATTCACGTACAGCCGCAGGTAGTCGTAACTCATGACCAG